CTCTCTGTGTGTGTGTGTGTGTGTTTCTCTCAGGCGTGGGCTCTGCTGTGGTGGATAACTATCTCTATGTGGTCGGGGGTCACTCGGGCTCGTCGTATCTGAGCGCGGTGCAGCGGTACGAGCCCATCACGGACAGCTGGCACGACTCCAGTGGGATGATGTACTGCCGCTGTAACTTCGGCCTGACCGCGCTTTGACCCTGGCCACACGGCTGACCGTCAGAGACGCGAGGGGAACTGGCTTTGTTTCTGGAGTGTGTTTCCCGCTCATCCGGTGGCGTTTGCTCCAGCCGGCGCTGGGACTCGGAGCGTTTACGGCACTGAAGCACAGGTCTGATGAACACCAGAGCCTTCCACAGACCCTCGGAGGACGCGGAGCTGCCCGCTCTTCCCCTTTACATTTCAAGGCTTCTGATGAGGGACGCACATGCGGCGAGTGTGTGTGTGTGAGCGTGTGATGCATGAGTTGAATCAGCGCTTCACTCTTGAGGAGAAGCCTGGGACTCGTGATAAGGGCTGCCTTCTGTCCTCTACATACAGCTGTGTGTGTGTGTGTGTCAAAGCCACTGCACTGACCGTCTGACCGTGTGTGTTTGTGTCTGCTCCACATGCTCGTCTTCTCTCCTTTCAACTAGAAATGAGTGAATCTCACCTGAGTGCATGCAGCTCATGTTTCACCACAGTCACAATTATATTTTGTTGAAAAACTAAAATATATATATATTTTTTGCATTTTTTTGCATTCAAAATATTTAGCTGTAAGACAGATTTTTATTTTATTATTTTTTTTTTTTTTGTATTTGTACAAAAATGTACAGTTATTTTCACACTGCAGTTTGCTGTTGAAAACACTGTAAAACACACTACAACTATTTAAGTTGTCAAATATCACATCTCAAATTTAGGACATTCAAATCTTTAGCATATTTGGCTGGAAGATTATGAAAAAAATGGATGTGATCCTGACGGGTGTGATGAGATTCACCCGTGTGTGTGTGAGCATGTGTGAGCGTGTGTGTGAGCGTGTGTGTGAGCGTGTGTGAGTCTGTGTGTGTGAGCGTGTGGGTCTGTGTGTGTGAGCGTGTGTGTGTGTGTGTCTGTGTGTGTCTGTGAGCGTGTCTGTGAGCGTGTGTCTGAGCGTGCGTCTGTGTGCGAGCGTGTGTCTGTGTGTCTGTGTGAGCGTGTGTGTGTGTGTGTCTGTGTGTGTCTGTGAGCGTGTCTGTGAGCGTGTGTCTGAGCGTGCGTCTGTGTGCGAGCGTGTGTCTGTGTGTCTGTGTGAGCGTGTGTGTGTGTGTGTCTGTGTGTGTGTGTGTGAGCGTGAGTGTGAGTGTGTGTGTGTGTCATACTGACTGGTGCTAATTTCCTCTTCAGGATGTGTTGTTTTAGTTCTGTCATAGTGTGAATCATGATTTCCTGTTCCTGTGGCGTTTGTTTGTTGGCGTTCAGATGAAGCATCACAGTAACGTGGCTGGTTTGAGTGGAGTGTGGCGTGAGTGACATCAGACAGCGGTCACATGGTGCCAAACCTTCACGCGCTCGTCTTCACACAGATCTGCACGTGGAGATACTGACGCTGTGCACTTACCAAACCATTTTCTACTGTGTAAATATGACCTTTGAGTTCCGTTGAGGCAATAAGACTTTTTCTTCAACTCATCATTAATTGCCAAGGTGTTTGGGAATCCTGTGACTGACCTGAACGGCTGCTTTGTTTCATTATGTTGCTCGTTATTCTGGATTTCAGCACTTTTGATGTTGATTTTGGATCTGAACTGCTTTTAGAAGCGTGTTTTGGATTGATTGGACATGAAAAGCGTGATGTCTCTCAGTCCAGAACATGATTTTTAGTGTATTTCAGTGCAGATCCAGAGGCACAAAGGGAACCAACGCTCATCAGAAGCATCCGTGTTTGATTAGCAATAAGATATATTTCCATGCATCCATGAATGTCCGTCACCGTCATTCACTGAATCTGCAGCAGATGATCGTGTGTGATTTTCTCTCCTGAAGCGTGTCGATGTTGATCCGAGAGTTTCTGATCCATCGGTCTCAGTTTAACGGCGGTCAGATGATGGTGAGAAGCTGAAATCACGCTGGCGTGACCGTGAACGCTGCTTCTGGTCTATTCCTGTGGGATCCTCGAAGGCCAAACGTGCAAAACGTCAAACTGCAATCGAAGGCATTGGGTGATGTTTGTGTTCGTGTCTGAATCGCCGCTCTCACCGAAGTGCTCGTCTCACGAGGGAATCTGAATCAGTCCAGAACGACTCCCTCACTGTCTTAAACTTTTGATCATTTTTCCTGATGATGATGATGCCACATTTTCTTTTTCCGTCCGTCTGGCTTGTGTTTGAAATAGAGTGCATTTTTATAAACCTGTGGATTGTTACTGGAACTAAACCGATAACCTTAGCTACAAACGCAGTATTTATTTTTCACATTTTATCAAGCATTGAGAGCATAGCATACTTCTGCCAGTTTATTTGTGTGTGTGTCACAGCTCGACCAGTCAAGAAATAAAGGCCTGGAAATGATTCTGCAGGAGTCCGGCGTGTTTCTGCTTCATGCTCAAAGGTGTAGTTCATCTGAAAATGAAAATGTGCTGTAAATGTGCTCACCCTCAGATCATCCCAGATCAGGATGAGTTTGTTTCTTTCAGCTTTTGTCTTCTCCAGATGTTAACTGATGGACTGGAGTGCTGTGGATTACTTGTGGATTATTGTGATGTTTTTATCAGCTGTTTGGACTCTCATTCTGACGGCACCCATTCACTGCAGAGCATCCATTGGATAATCGATCCTGATTTCATTAAACAGGCTCTTTAACACACAGACACATGCTTACAAACATAGAAAGTTTTATTTGCAGTGACAGCAGATACAATATCTGACTAATATTTGATATTGATTATAAAAGTATGAATGCACATTGATTTATACCACATCTGTAATAATGTTCCATGCTTCAGTAAACGAATCCTCAACTAAACCTAGTAATCTATCTCGTCATGATGAGTGCAGGTAGTAAAGAACTGTAAACCAACAATAATAGTTAAAAAGATTAAAAAGTGACTTTCTGTAGGAGGCAGTTTCTATGAATCATTCGATCTTCAGTCTGCATGAATGTTTAGAAAGACGCTTCTGTCCGTCACACACTGATCCACAGTCAGTCGAAGCACCCAGAACTATTATAGTCCACCATCACAGACTCTTGGATTCCAAGCAGCAGAAAACACCAGAGAATCACTTACAAAATTGCAAAAGTCAATCATTTAGAGGAGTATAAAACATCACTGGAACGCACAAAAATATACCGTGTCATCAGAAGTTCAAGAGTTCACTTTTAAAGGGGTCGTCGGATGCAAAATTCACTTTACAAGTTGTTTGAACATAAATGTGTGTACACATCCACCCTATAATGATAAAAGTTTTCCCTTTCTCAAACCAGGCTGTTCTGAGCTTCCTGTCAGAGTGACGTAGTTCTGCACAGGCCCCTCCCACGATAGTTGATTGACATTAGGGTCTTACCTTAGCTCCGCCCTGAGTGAGCTGTCATCAGTCCGCCATTGTGTCGACTCCGGTGCGGTGGAAGACTAGAATGTCTCTGATTAAGCGATTGAGGTGTTTTGTTGTTGGATGTAATAATGAATAAAGCAGTCGTCATTTACTCCCGACATCTGAGCCGCTGAAGACGCAGAGGATTAACAATACTTCCGTTTTGAAGGCCTAAATGCGTCTATGTTCGCGCGAATCATTCGTGATCCATCTACTGTAGAAGCGAGTATAAGGGTTTTTAATGAATCTTTGCAAATCGCCTTTCCTAATAACGTGCTAGTTAGCAAGTTCCGTGGCTGAAGTAAACAGTATCATGAGAACGGCTCGTCACCCACGGAAGAGAGGGGCGGGGTCAGCAGAGCTCATTAGCATTTAAAGCAACATGGACTAGAACCGCGTGCTGAAAACAAAGCTGATTTTGACGGTAAAAAGGTGTTTTTTACGCTACCATTGAGAAATTTTAACTAAAGTATGTTATAGACTTTTCATTAAGACCCTAAAGAATCATATCAACTTGTAGAAAATGGGCATCCGATGACCCCTTTAAGCTGCTTAAGCTGTTGTGGTGTTCATTCACATTGTTTCTAGATTATTGAGTAGAGTGATCAGATGCATTTTAAATAATTGCTAAAAGCTTCATTGGCCAAAAAATGAAAGTGTTTTTATGTGAATTCCACCACAGAGGTTCAAGAGACTCTTGCGCCACGTACACATCTTTTCAATTTTTCGGGGCACAGCACAATTTGCTTTCATTTCAAAACCGTTTGAGTGGGCCAAACGGGGTCAGAGAAGATTACTTTGCGAAGATGAAATGAATTCACCTGGGGAAGCTCCTGGAAAAGAGTAAAAAAGAGGTGTGCTTTCTTCTCACTGGTCTCCAGAACGGCTCGTCACCCACGGAAGAGAGGGGCGGGGTCAGCAGAGCTCATTAGCATTTAAAGCAACATGGACTAGAACCGCGTGCTGAAAACAAAGCTGATTTTGACGGTAAAAAGGTGTTTTTTACGCTACCATTGAGAAATTTTAACTAAAGTATGTTATAGACTTTTCATTAAGACCCTGAAGAATCATATCAACTTGTGGAAAAAGGGCATCCGATGACCCCTTCAAAGGGAATATTGGCGTGTGTTCATGGCTCCGAGGTCCTGATGTAGACGAGCGAGGACAGCCGCAGGAACTCGGGCGGTTTGTTCAGAAGCACCAGGTTGTCGCTGCGCAGGCCGTCGTAGTGCATCCAGTAGCCGTCGATCTGGAACGCTGCGGAATAATGATGCTCGTCTCTGTTGAAGAGCGTCGCTCCCTCCAGAGAGTACCTGAGCAATCAGATCACGCGTTTAGAAAACACATACACACACACACACACACACACATACACACACACACACACCAGTGCATTTGTACAGAGACACACACAGAGGACATACAGGGAAAAAACTCGTTTTAATTCATGCACAATTTAAGAATTTGTTTCCTCATTTTAGTGCACTTGTGTCCATGTTTTAATTAAATAAAAACAATCGTGGCCACAAATGTGGGAACAAATGTTTAATTTGTAGCCACAATAAATATATTTTTGACTGTATGTGATGCGCGGGGCTCCATAGATTTGATCCTGAATTACACAGATTTCATCCAACATCTACAGTGAGGATCAAACCAGGATTAAAGGCAAAAACTGATGTGTTTTTATGCTTATGCCAATTGAAGAGCACGGATTTTTTATTTATTTTTTTTGCGCTACTACCAGTAATACAATAATTACATATTATTGCATGTGCAAATGAGTAATTGCTTTGTGATAATTGTTACTGAAATTAATTCAATATGATTTCCTGTAAAAAATAAAAATGTATATATATATATATATATATATATATATATATATATATACACACACATTTTATATTAATTATGCAAATATTAAATGTATTAAAAATGATATATAGGACCATAAAGGAATATTTTTTGGCATCTGTAGGTGGAAATAATGCTCTTGTTCACATTGCACTTCAATTTAAGACAAACTAACGATTTATAACATGGGATGTTTCATAAATTGTTAATAGGAACATTTTGGAAATTGTTGTACATTTAGGATAATTCTACACACCGTTAATTAAAATAATCCAACACTGACTATTAAAATGTGAAGATTAATAGACAATCACAATATGCATCAATATTATTATATGCACAAATGAGCAACTGCTTTGTGATAATTACATCACTGAAATTAATTCAAGATATATGATTTCCCATAAAAATAATGTCATCAATTTATATATATTTTGTTTTCATTATATATATACAGTGGTGTGAAAAAGTGTTGGCCCCCTTCCTGATTTCTTGTTTTTTTGCATGTTTGTCACACTTTAATGTTTCAGATCATCAAACAAATTTAAATATTAGTCAAAGATAACACAGGAAGGGGGCCAACACTTTTTCACACCACTGTGTATATATATATACACACACACACACAATGACCCTGGAGCACAAAACCAGTCATAAGGGTAAATTTTTCAAAATTGAGATGTATACATCATCTGAAAGCTGAATAAATAATATTTCCATTGATGTATGGTTTGTTAGGATAGGACAATATTTGAAAATCTGGAATCTGAGGGTGCAAAAAAATCTAAATATTGAGAAAATCATCTTTAAAGTTGTTCAAATGAAGTTCTTAGCAATGCATATTACTAATCAAAAATTAAGTTTTGATATATTTACGGTAGGAGATTTACAAAATATCTTCATGGAACATGATCTTTACTTAATATCCTAATGATTTTTGGCATAAAAGAGAAATGTATAATTTTGACCCATACAATGTATTGTTGGCTATTGCTACAAATATACCCCAGCGACTTAACACTGCTTTTGTGCTGCAGGGACACAAATATATATATAATTAGTTATAGAACTGCAGTTTAAAAAGTAAAAATGCATTTAAAAAATGTTTTCTTGTGTGTGTGTGCATGGATATTTCTTAAATTTGTAGGAACATTTTGGAAACTGTCACGCAATCACACTCAGGATCACGTGATGCGTGTCTTTATAACCGAGGCCCCAGTGAATGATGCAGAAGCTGTGACGGAGAGGTAACTGAAGAGCACCGTTGTTCGGAGAGCTCCAGATGATACGGCACGTACGACAGATCCTCCGACTGCCACAGCTGCATGTTGAGGATGATGAAGGGCGGCGGGCCGTGACAGAAGAACCTCTGACCGAACTCTCTCAGACCCTCACACCTGAAACACACACACACACACACACATGGACGTGAGCGAGAAGATCAGATCAGACCATCAGCCTCTGAGAAACACAGAGAAGCATCTCACTCCAGCTCTTCACACAGCTCCAGCCGCGGGCAGAAGAACTCGTCCAGCGCTGACTGCATGGGATCCTTATCTGGAAGCTCATGAGGAGGACTGAGAGAAACACAGAGATACAGATGAGAATCATCTCACACACATCTGTCAGACACATTCTCACATCGCTGTTTATAATCAGCTGCACATCTTCTGTCTCTGATTGAGAGTTTAGAGTGTTTTTATCCAGTCGAAGCTCTTTCAGTGTAATTCTGGAGCTGGAGCTTCACGAGTCAAATCTCGACTGATTTTGATCAAGTAAAGGTCAGAATAACTGCAGTAATATCTCCAGATGAACACTTACTGGACTGAAGCAGCTCAGCTTTACTTGATTCTCCATCAATCATGTTTTAGAGTCTCAAATCTGATCCTCAGGATCTTTTGAGGAGCGTTTGTTTCCAGAAGCTTTACTTTCACTGTTCCTCAGCGGAGGAATGATCTTCACAAGCCTCCAGAACATCTCACATCTTCTGAGGAGCCTTTATTTCTTCAGCTCTCAATCACTGCATTATATGTTTGGAGCATTTCAATCTCATCTTATATTACTGGAGATATAGAGCGACCACTGATATTTAGATCATTTTATGTCAGCATCTGCTGCACTGTTATAAATCTCTCATTGATTTACATCACAAGCAGCAGAATTTCATCATATAAATATCAGCTTCTGCAGCAGATTGGATGTTATTGCTTAGTTTGAGGGGATTTTTCTGACTACTTAATAAAGTCATAATTATGAATTTGTATCTCAAAATTACGACTTCATATGCCATAAGTCATTATTTCATAACCTTGACATTTTATCTCATAATTGTCTTTTTAATCTCATAATTATGACTTCTGTTATACATTTTGACTTTCTATCTCATAATTGACTTATCTCATAATTATGACTTTTTGTCATAATTTTGACTTTATCTCAATCTTCTCAAAATTATCACTTGGTATATGAAAATTATGACTTTTTATCTCAATTATGACCTCTCATAGTTTTGACTGTCTATCTCATAATTTGTAGATTTTTCTCATAATTGTGACTTTTTACGTCATATAGTATATAGTCTTATAGTATATTTCACGACTTTTTAGTATATTATAATTACGACTTTTTATCTCATAACTATGACTTAGTGTGCCATAATTGACTGTTTAATCTCATAATTATGACTTTCTATCTCATAATTTATACTGTTTTATCTCATAATTGTGACTTTTTACATCATAATTTTGACTTTCTCTCTAATAAATTTGACTCGTCTCAAAATGATCACTTAGTATATATAGTAATTATGACCTAGTGTGCCATAATTGACTTTTAATCTCATAATTATGACTTTTTATCTCATAATTATGACTTGGTGTGCCATAATTGACTTTTAATCTTATAATTGTGACTATCTCATAATTTTGACTTTCTCTAATAATTTTGACTCGTCTCAAAATGATCCCTTAGTATATAATAATTATGACTGTCAAATTTGATCCTCAGGCTTCTGAGGAGCCTTTATTTCTTCAGCTCTCAATCACTGCATTATATGTTTGGAGCATTTCAATCTCATCTTATATTACTGGAGATATAGAGCCACGACTGATATTTAGATCATTTTATGTCAGCATCTGCTCTACTGTTATAAAGCTCTCACTGATTTACATCACAAGCAACAACTGAGCTTTATTCTCACTGTATCAGAGTACATGAGTCATAAAAGCCTGACGGATCACATAAGATGCTTTAGATTTCGTCAGACGCACTTGATGCTGATGGTGCTGCGCAGGTGCTCCTGGAAGCGGTTCGGGCAGCTCCCGCCGGAGCAGCAGCTCTCCTGCACGCTGGACATCAGGTTCTCCAGGTTCTTGGTGAAGTTCTCGTGCTCGTTGCCGAACAGGTCGATCTCCAGCGCCGTGTGGTGGATCTCGGAGCGGTACTGCCGCTTGGACATGCGGTCCCAGATCCACAGCATCTTGACGGTGGTGTACTCGCAGCAGTCCATCAGCTGGAGGAAGTGCTGAACGAAGCGCCGGCCCAGGAACAGACCCAGCTCTCTGGGGAAGCTGTGGTTGTCTCTCAGGATGACGTAGAGGAGCATGAGGAAGCCGTCGATGGTGCAGGTGTTCTTCAGGTTGATCTTCACGTACAGAGGCGTGCAGGCGATGGCCTTGCGTCCCGCTCTGATGGTGAACACACCGCCCCACGGCAGAACCGGACGCCAGAACGAGCGCTCGCCCGCCGCGTTATTATTGATGGAGGCGCGGATCTCCTCGAACAGCGTCTTGGTCCTGTCAGAACAACACAACCTTAGAAAACACACCAGACCTTCTCTGACATATAGACCACAAAAACATGCTATATGTGACCCTGGAGCACAAAACCAGTCATAAGGGTCAGTTTTGTGAAATTGAGATGTATACATCATCTGAAAGCTGAATAAATAATCTTTCCATTGATGTATGGTTTGTTAGGACAATATTTGGCTGAGATACAACTATTTGAAAATCTGGAATCTGAGGGTGCAAAAAAATCTAAATATTGAGAAAATCATCTTTAAAGTTGTTCAAATGAAGTTCTTAGCAATGCATATTACTAATCAAAAATTAAGTTTTGATATATTTACGGTAGGAAATTTACTAAATATCTTCATGGAACATGATCTTTACTTAATATCCTAATGATTTTTGGCATAAAAGAAAAATCTATAATTTTGACCCATACAATGTATTGTTGGTTATTGCTACAAATATACCCCAGCGACTTAAGACTAAAGTTTTGAGTTTTTGGTCTGTTTGGCTTCTATATCGCGTCTTCTCTCGGTCTAGTGGAAGGAAAACATATGAAATACACATTTAAGGGTTGATGTCATTTCACTTTATCTATTTGCGTCTGTAGATTTCAATCTTTAGAGTTTTTTCTCTTACACACACCGAACTTTGCAGGTTTATAACTAGAGATCGACTGATATATCGACTTACCGATATTTTTTCCAATATTTAAGCATTTTACAATAATCGGATATCGGTTTTGTAATATCGGATTTCTCCAATTGAAAACATTAGACATTCTACATTTATTTTGCTTATTGTTAATATTAGTGTTGCTGCT